TCTGGAGAGATTCTGTCTTGAGGTGGAAGCTAATAAATGCAACAGAACTGTATCTGCACTGTCTCAGGGAGTTCTTTGGGCTGAACCTGACAATTATGCACGATACAGGTAGTACTCGACTTATGACAGCAATTGGGACTGGAATTTTCGTCGCTAAGTGATCCAGTTGTAAAGTGTGAATGCATTGTTTAGCGGCAGTAATCCCTGTGGTCCCAGTTGCCGTCGTTAACTGAATCCCATGGTTGTTAGGCGAGGCAACTTCCTGCCCACAACCAAAGTCAGTCCCAGGCTGGCAGGCAGGTAAGTGGCTGCTGCCGAATGGAGGAAGGAGGGAGGGGGTGCAAGAGGCACCATGTGGGTCAGGAAGGGGGTGTGAGGGAGTGCTGCACAGATCAGGGAGGGTGCGCATGAGGCGTCATGCAGATTGGGGAGAGTGCGCATGAGGCGTCACGCAGGTCAGGGAGGGTGCAAGGGGATGTGTGAGAGGCACGGATCAGGTGTGCAAGGGGCACTGTGTGGGTCAGGGAGGGCGAGCGGGGGTGTGCGAGTACACAGCGCAAGTGCAGAGGGGCTGTGGGAGGGGACGCAGGTGGGGGAGACTTACCCCAGCAACTTGCAACCTTCCCTGCCAGCTTCCCCACTGACTTTCTGGGGAAGCTGGCAGGGAAGGTTGTAAATGGCTATCATGTGACCGCAGGGCACTTAGCAACCAGTCGTAAATGTGAAAAGGTTGCCAAGCACCCAGATCGTGTTCACATGACTGCGGGGGTGTTGGGACAGCTGGAATTCCGAGGACCAGTCATAACCACCATTTGTTCAGCACTATCGTAATTTGGAAAAGTCATGTACTGAATGGTCATAGGTCAAGGATTACCTTATGCTCATTTCTGTGCTATTTTTATGTACAATAATCCAATATTTACCTCCTCTCCTTTGGGTATTCGGCGACTTGAGATGATTATTATCTTGTCCTCCTTGTCAAAAGTCACAACCTCAGCCACACAATTTGGTGCACAGGAATGATTAATGTACCTTGTAGGGGAAGAAGAAGGAAAATCATACAAGGGGGCACTGGGTCCTTCACTGTGGAAACCCATTCCATGAAATATCAGAAGAACTCAGTGTGGAATTCTTCAGAACGTTCTTAAAAGTCTGGAGTGGTGCCTGATCAGGATAATTGTAGCAGGATTCTTGCATTCTATTCTTAACATTAACAGGACTAAGGGTTTATGAGGACAAAGAACTTATGAAAAAATATGTACCATATTAAGAACCCTAGGTCCTGAAGGAAACACCTTGGGCAGAATTTAATAATGATTGCCTTTATTTTTATTATTAATCTTACTGTTACTATCACCTTGCTTAATGAATGCTTTCTATCTTGGCTTTTATATTTCGTTTTTCTAATATGTTTTAATTGATTTGCACACTGTCCAGATTTTGCTGGTGTAAAATACACTAAAATCAAATACAATTATGAACAATCTTATTTCATTTTTTAAAAAAACTTCTAGTTTTAAAGGAAATAATGGTTTTCTGTTGAAGGACAAAATATGACAGTTGTGTATCCAGTTGTGAATCCAAGAATTAATTGGCCAACAGGCTGTACAGCTTTTAGCTGTAGCACTTCAGAAGTATTTATGACACTCTATCAATACGTTTTTCTCACTGAAAAAATGTTCTGACCAGTAACGAATAACTAGTATTGGCCAGTAACAAAAAACACAACCAGGCACATTTAAATCCATGAATTTTACATAGGTTGTTTTTCCTCTACTTCAAGTGAGAACTTGAGAACTGAAGAGAAATCTTCCCATTTAAAATCAACTTCCTCTGATCAACAAAGCCTGTGAATGCATCACGTGAGCTAATAGTCTTTAATTCTGGAAACAAATACTTTGTAAATATAAATTCACTCACCTGGCAGGGCCACCTGTCAGGGTGGCATCAATTACATGCTCATTATTGATACGGAACATGTAGATGCCTCGGTTCTGGAAAAGCATGAAAAGAGAAATTATATGGCATGTTTTATGTTTCCTTCATGCCTCACATTCTTACCATCAATCTCAGCTGAATTTATATTGGCTGCTTTGGCAGCACAAATGCTAGGGACATGCATGAGATTGGTCTCTTTGGAAAAAGAGGGCCTGACGTGATCCACATCTAGCACCAAAATGTTTACACTGAAATTTATTCATCCATTGGCTGAAGAAACATCAATGTATGTTTAAATATATACAGTTAGTCCTTGATTAACTATGGTAACTGGGACCAGAATTTCAGTTGCTAAATGATGTGGTTATAAAGCACATCATGTGACTGCATCGCTTAGCGATGGCAATTCTGGCACTCCCCATTGCTGTCGTTAAGCGAGGATCATAGGTCATGAAGCAAGTCCCAGGTGGCTTGCAAGCAGGCTGGCAGGCAAGTAAGGGGCAGTGTGAGGTGGGGCAGCTGTTGCTGAGCAGGGGAGAGTGCATGAGCGGCCCACGAGATGTAGCACAAGTGTGGCGGGGCTGAGGGGTGGCTGCTGCTGGGCAGGGAGGTCTTTGATTCTGCCTGTGGGAAGCCGGCAGGGAAGGTCGCAAATGGCGATTGCATGACTGCAGGACACTGCAACCATCGTAAGCGCGAGCGAGCTGCCAAGCACCCAGATTGTGATCATGTGACTGCAGGGGTGCTGTGATGATCAGAACTTCAAGGACCAGTCGTAAGTCTCCTTTTTCAGCACCGATGTAACTTTAAATGGTCCCTGAATGAATGGTTGGTAAGCAAGGTCTACCTGTATATACTTTTAACATATGAATATGGAAAAAACTAGAACGACCTTAGTAGATAACCACATGGAAAAGTAAAGGGCCAGAAACAGACTGGTTCGTTCAGCTTCAAAAAGCAGTGCACCACACATTTCCTTGCAAGCACAATGATGAGTTTTGACAAAACAGAATCTGGGTAAGCTATTCAGAGACTCTGCTAGCACCCACCTCAAAACTTTTCTTGGCTTAAAATTGCATATATTACAGAAAAGGTACATAGAAAACTTCAGGAGAAATGGCATACAAAAAAATACTATGTCTTCTTTTTATAAAATTAATTGATCTGCAGAATGGTGTAAAATTTTGATGGAGTGGACAGATGCCATACATGTGATAATGATATAGACTAGACTTATACATCTCTATCACAAGCTATTCTTCCCCAATTAAAGGACAGAACAGAATTCAGGGAGAGAATCATCATGTAGTTCAGTGGCAATTTGAGATCTGGAAATATCCAATATCCAATCAAAAACTGGTTCTAACTAAATGAGGACCCTTCACACCAGTATCAATCAATATCAGTAAATTTTATTACAGTCACTGACCAGTACAAGCCTTCATACCAATAACTAAGCTAAGTGCCCTTCTCACTATAAATGTTAATCTAGAATGATACCACTCTGTATCACCCTCCACAAAGACCTGCTTCCCAAGCTAGGGACACCCACCCATCCTGTAATTAGAGATGGATGTTTCTATTTCCCTACCACACCTATATTCCAGAACAGAGGTCTTGCTCCACCCCCTACCTGCTCCTCATAGATCTTCTCCCGCCTGTTAGCAACCTCGTTGCGGATGATGGTGCCAATGTATTCAATAACCATTGTGTGCTTCTCAAGATCCTTGGCAGCATAAAGCCCAAGCCCCTGGATGCGGGACCGGGCCAGGTACACATTGTTCTTCCATTCTGTCTTGAGACGGCGGTACTGTGAGGACTTGGAGTGCACAAACTGCTTGCTATAGGGCGTGTTTGTTTCACCTGTGAATGTACTCTGGTAAGCTTTGGACATGCTGGTGCTGTTCAGAGTGTGGGGCCTTCAAAATATATAGGGAGAGAGGGGAGAAAAAGAAATGTGTATGAAGCCTATCAGCAAGGGTAGTTAAGAATTAGGACAAAATACAGAGATTTTGAGATGCAACTATCATTGGGGCTGTGTTGGATAGGTAGTACCCAGCTTCTTCTGATCCTAATTGCTGAAAACCATTGACAAAGTTCTTTGCCATTTCAAGGTGGAAAAAAGACCTCTAAACTGTGAACTGTAAAATAGGCATATAGTTTAAAAGAAAAACCTGTTCCCCGTATCTGAGAAAACAATCTAGAATCTGCCTATGTTGTATCATACAGCTGGGAGATAAATCTTCAAGACCATGAATTTATCCAATCTCCTTGTTAAACGATCTAAGTTAATGGCCACTCACCACAACTTGTCCAATGAATTCCACAACATAATTTTGCACTATATGTTCTCTTTCTTCTGCTCTAAAGCTCCTAATTAGTTTCACTGGGTGATTATTGGTATTAGTGTATTGACCACAAGAAACATTTATTCCCGTTATTTTCCTCCATGTCATGCATGATTTTGCACACGTCACCTTTCTAAACTAAACAATCCCAAAGGCTCTAGCTTTTTCTGAAAGGAAAGTGTTAGTTCCCTCTGATCATTTTGGTTGTCCTCTTTTACAGCTGTATTATATCCCTTTTCAAAGGTGGTGACCAGAACTGAACATGGTATTTCAGATGCAATTGTACCCCAGAATTGGAAGAGAAGGTAAGAAATACTGGGTCCTTCCTATGCTTTGCAAGCTTCTCAGTGGCTGCTCATGTCTAACTTCTTGTGCCACTACACCAGGGCCACAGAAACATAGGAAGCTCCCTTGTTTTAAATTATGAGTGGCTGGCCATGGTCTTTCATATCAAATACAATTGTGTCCCAGAACTTTCTGCATACAAAGGAAGGGCTCCTACCACTGATACATTCTCCTCCTCCACTCTCTCAACTTGATGTCTCAACATGGATTCTCTCATTGAAGATCAGCAATCAAAGGAGCAACATAGATGCTGCTCACTCACCGTTTGTAGTGTGTAAGGATTTTGGGTTCCGATCGAGCACAACCAGTGGGATTGATCATGAGTGGCAGCTCCATGAGTGGATGGCGTCCATAGCGAAACAGATAATTCTGGCAGCTTTCTACACCAGGTAGCTGGGAAAAGAAGGGCACGTATTTTTTTCACTTCCTTAATATATTCCTAATGCATGAGCAGTCCTTTCTCCTGGAGCAGTATAGAGGCTAAGATGCTGAATAAGACACAAGGAATCTCAGAGCCAAGTCTACCCTCAATTAGAGAGGCTCACCAGGTAACTATTTGCAACTCACTGTCAGCTTAATCTATTTCATAGGGTTGTCAGTATGAGAAAACAATAGAGAGCATTATGCAATCTTGCCAGGGTTCCTGGAGAAAAGACAGTATGAATGGAGAATAAGCCAGTCCCTTGCATAAGCCTACTGAGCTAAAGCAAATCCATTCCCATAGCACATATTCAAGTGGTAAAAATAGGAGATGAGCAAGTTTAGCATCCTAATTTCCAGAACTGGTCTCATGAACCAGTTTATCAGTATCGACTAGAAATCATGCTGTATGCTGTATTTCTGGGACTGTGGCTTTTAGCTGAACTTTCTATGAACTGTGGGTCAACTCAAGCACAACACCAAGCGTATTTCTCAGATAATGCAAAGTTCCTTTGGTGAGAATTAGAATGCTACCAGGATGACACACTAATTGTGTGGACCCCACTGAAAAAGGGGGTGAGGATGGGACTGAGTTATAAGGCATCTTCAGTTTACTATAAGCCAAGAAAACATATATAATTTATTCAAAGTTGATAGTGTCTGCTTTACACTAATCTGAGTATGTTTGATTAAATATGATCATGTGCCTTGGTAGATTTGGAATGGAGATGTTAGCCAGTTCTGCCACCAGGATAAATCGCAGGGATAAATTTCAGATAAATTACCACCCACAACCACCACCCTGTGAGGTGAGTTGGGAGGAGAGAGAGGGACTGGCCCAAAGTACCCAGCTGGCTTTCATGCCCAAGGCGGGACCAGAACTCACGGTCTCCTGCTTTCTAGCCCAGTGCCTTCACCACTAGACCAAACTTGCTCCTACTTCACAGCTTCATTTCTGAAAAGCTGGCCAGGGCAATCCTAGAAGTGGTGGCTATAGTCTTGGGGAGCTTCAATATCCACACTAAGACTGTTGTTAGCTTGGCATTTCATAGTTTCCATGACAGCCATGGAAACACCCCTATTTGTCATTCTGCCCACGCAGAGGGCAGGATACATCCTCAACCTGGTTTAGCTGTTAGGTGTGAGAGGGGCGTAAAGGAGTTGAATGATCCCATTATGATTAGATCATTTCCTGGCAAGATTTGGGCTGATGACACCAGTTGTACTTCCTGATTCAGGGTTCCAATTTCTTGCATTTGGTACATACAGACTCTGCAATGCGCAGAACAGCATGCACGGTCAAGCCAAAGAGCTCTTCTCCTTTTAGATACTCGGGGAAAAGTCGCAGCATGTCAGCTTCCTTGCGCATCATAGCCACTGGTTCGATGATGCGGTTCCAGACAGCTGTTACAACAGAGAAAAAAGGAAAAAGAATTGAAGATGAGACATGTTCATTCATCTGAGACAGACAAGCACATATCTGCTGGGGGGAAGAATCAGAAACCAGACTCCAAATATATCAAAATGGCCGCAGGACAGTCCTCTATGATTTCAGGTTTTCAGGAATTCATGCATAAATATGCAAAAACTAATGATGGCAACAAACATGCATTAGACAACCTTCAACAATTGCTAAGTAGATGCATGCAGCCAGGCTCCCTAAAAACAGATTGACTGCAGGGCAGAATTGGGCAAAAGACTCTTTCTCATTATATCCATGCCAAAAGGCATGCATTATATATTTGGTCCACCAAAACAATTTGTTTCTTTTTATTACCCATTTTCCAATTAATTATCTAAATATTAAAACTCTGCGTAATATTATAGAGTACAGGTAGTCCTCGGTTAACAATGGTAATTGTGACTGGAATTTCTGTTGCTAAGTGATGTGGTCGTAAAGTGCAACATCACATGACTGCATTGCTTAGCAACGGCACTTCCAGTACTCCCCTTTGCTGTCATTAAGTGAGGATCACAGGTCGTTAAACGAGTCTCAGGTGGCTTACAAGCAAGTCAGCAGGCAGGTAAGTGGCTGCTGCTGGGTGGGGGAGTACGTGCGGGTGGCTGGTGAGGCACGGTATGAGTGCTGCGGAGCCAGCTGCTGCCAGGTGGGAGAGAGTGCAAGCGACTTACCAGAGTGACTTGCAACCTTCCCTACCAGCTTCTCCACTGACTTTGCTTGAGGGAAGCCAGCAGGAAAGGTCGCAAATGGCGATCACGTGACTGTGGGATGCTGCAACTGTTGAAAGTGAGAGCCAGTTGCCAAGCGCCCAAATCACGACCATGTGACTGCAGGGGTGCTGGGACAGCTGGAACTTCGAGAACCGGTGATAAGTACCACCGTTCAACACTGTTGTAACTTTGAGTGGTAGCTGAACAAGTGAGTGGTCGTTAAACGAGGACTACCTGTATACTTATATAATTTACACGGCATATTTTAATTGCAAACATGGAAGATGTACCATCTTCTGACATGAAGAGGATCAAAAATTTGGAAGTGAGTGAAAGGTGTTTTTAGTTTTAAGGAAATCTGTTCTCTGGAAAATAAAGTTTACCCCGAAAGGGAACAGTGTTTTGATACCTATGTATATACAACTATGTTTCTCAACTAGTAGTATGTGTAGTCCTAGTGGGGAGGTGACTCTCCTTCCTAATTAGGAAAGAGTAAAAGAGAAACAGAAAGCATTTGCACTAGTTCTCTCTTTTAATTTGTTTGTTTAGGTTTGGGGAAAAGATTACTCCCAGATCAGCAAATACTGCTTCAGCCCCAGTTAGCTCTCAGCCAGAAAGAGTTGCTGCAGGGAACTTGCCATGCCTCCAGCCCCTTGTCAGAAGACCGAAGGGCAGTATACTCAGGCCTGGGCCAGAGGAACAAGGGCAAAGGAATAGAGGGTCACTCTAGCCTGAACTGCCTATATATGCCAACACACTGCTCCCCACGTCTTTCTGATCTTGAAGAACTCATCTCTCTCCTCTTCCATATAGTCTTTTTAGACTGCAAACATGAAAATAGGTGCACTTAGCCACTTTAAAGGAGATGGTTGTCTGAAAGTATGATTTACAATGCAGCAACCATTTTAAGGTGTACATTAATTCTCTATACAACCTTGAACTCTGCTGAGTTTTGCATGTCTTCCTCCTACTCTCAAAACCTATGAAATGAGATCAATGCACTGGAAAATAGACTGATTTGAACATATGCCTACAAATGCTGTGCTTTTCACACAATTAATTCTGAGCAGAGGAAGTGCATTTTCTCAAATTAACCTAGCAAAATTCTAGACATTTAGGGATGTTAGAGGAAGGATTCTGGTCCTGCTCCAAAGCTTATAACCAGCATACGCATGAAAGCAGTGCTTAGAGCCCAAGCTGATCTCTACCCTGTGGTGAGGAATCTGTGAAGACCAAATCCTCCAAACCATGTTCCATCACTTGAACCACAAACTCTGGCCGGCCATTGTTCTCGCAAATAGTACAACGATAGCAGCAACGCCGGTTGTTGGTCCGCAAACTCCAATAGATGCGGGTGGCCTCATAGCCCACAGGATAGAGTGCTGTGGCACTGTGAAAGTCTGCCATTTGGTGGGGTAAGAGCTGCCCTATGGCATGGAAGACCAGGCCTCCCACCCGGAACATGTGGAGGCGTTCCCCGCGCTGGATGATGCTGGCAATCTGCTTGACCTCATCCCGCTCGATGTAAACCCGTCGGAAGACAGTAAAGGTGCTGAGCTCCTGGTCACAGGGGCCTTTGAGCTTGTGCAGCGGGCACAGCATCGTCTTGTCCTTAAAGAACATACACTTGGCACGGATAGCACAAGCAAAGTGATAGACGTTGGGGCAGCGGATACGGTTGCAGCTATTAGTGGCACCAGTCTTCTGGCAAAGTGAGCATTTGGTGAGCAGGCCCCGGTGCAGTGCTACTTCCACATTAATGAGGGCCCCACCCTGAGTCTCGTAAACCTCCGTGGACCAGAGTGCACAGTTGAGATGCACCCATAAGTCCAGGTCAAGATTAAGGAGGCGGGCTGGACCATCTGTGGCCCCATCACCTTCCTCATGGCAAAAACAGCACTTCCGTAAATCACGTGGCACTTTCTCAGGCCGAAGCGTGGTAGCCAAGCGCTCAATGAACTCCGCAATCTCCCTATCCCCATCACGTTTGGTACCACCCTTCTGAATGGTAATGAGGAAACGCAGTCGTTTCCATCGCACCCCTTTCCATTTTTTTAGCCTTGGCTTGTTCTCCTCATTATCTTCCAGGGGCCTGGAGCGAGGCTTGGCTTTCGGTGGAGACTGAGGAGCTTCTTCTTTAGGAGATGATGGTGGAGGGAATGTCATAGATGGAGGTGGTGCTTCAGGCTCAGGGAGTGGCTCAGGAACTTTGGGTGGGCTTGGTGGAGAGGGTGCAAAAGGGGACAGAGGAGGAGATGGTTCTTCAGGAAGCGTCAAGAGTTGCCGGACGTCCAGATTGGCAACATTGTTGATGTAGCAGTGTTGAGCAGCTTTTTCTGGAACAGGACTCTCCTAAAGAGGAAAAAGGAGACTTCTCTGAAAAAGGAAGAGAGGCAGCTAAGGCTACCAGCCAGCATGTTTGATGGCAGACATCCTACCAGCCCAACAAGATATATGGCTCTGATATGAGTACTGTTCCATCATACCAAAGCAAGTTGGTTATCAGAAATCTGATATTTCCTTTTTTCTTTAGAGCTGGGTAAATAGAGATGGCTGGCTAGAGGAACTGACCAAATGTCATGAAAGAGGACGACGAGTGTCCTCAGACAGGAAATAGGAGTTCCACCCTGAAAACAATGAAATCTGTGGAAGATTAGAAGTGCTACTTGAGGTAATCAACATCTTCTCTCAATAGAGTCCCTGTGCAAAAGGTGAAATGGGGGGAAATGTGTGCCTACTGTAAAGTAATCATTATCTTCTTTCAATATCTTTTTTTCTAACTTGAACAAAATACATTATCAAAATATGAGGTTGTAGTGATAATCTGTAATCTATTCTTGCATGAAAAAGGAAGGGGAATTATGCCAAAAGCTTTCTACAAATAGTTAAAAACTGTTCAGTGACAAAGGAGAAAAGTTTCTGGAAAAAGCCCCCAGCCCCTCCTTCACCTGTTTGAGCAAAGTTAAGATGTCCAGCTCATTCTTGAGACTGTAGCCAGGCAACATGGCATCAAACTGCTTCAGCCACTCTGGTCCACCTTCAGGGCCCTTTGGAACTACTGGCTTCTCTTTGCCTAAGAAGGTTGGGATAGAGAAAGGTATAGAGAAGAGAAACAGGGACCAAGAAATAACAGATTGGAAATTCCCAAAAGATCTACTACCAAGGGGCCATCTTGACTAGGATACTCACTTTGTGCATCAGTTTCACCTTTCCTGGGTTCACTAGTTACATTTCGCTCTGGAAACAACACTTCATAAGAACTGGGAATCTTCATGCTCAACAGCTCTGCCACTGCCACCATGACACCATTCAGGTTCTGGAGAAGATGATGGGAATGGTCAGGAAAGTATTTGATCAAATTAAGAAATGTAACCCCAAACCATTTCCTGTAGTGTAATCAACGAATAAATTTTGTTTGAAGTATCCATAGCACAGATCATTTGACAGAAGAACTGTCAGACCCATCAAGCTGAACACCTGCCAAGTGCTTGACAGCTGTTTAGTAATGAGTCCCAGAAAAGTAGCAAGAACAGGAGATTTTCACACTCAGGATAAGCTGTCACAGTAGCTGATGGGCAGCATTCAACTCAGTACAAAGGGCTGTGGCACAAAACAAGACTAGAGGCTTCATGCATTTCCACCGAATGTGGAACATTGGTGATGCTGCCACAGTTGATAGGGCCCAAGACAAACACTGTCTGCTTCCCGCTCTCTGATTCTGTAGTGGCAGTAATATCTCTTCTTTCTCCCTTTTTTGTAATTTTTAAAAGAAACAGGAATGCAGAGCAAAGAGGCAATTGCCCCTTCCACAAATCTATAATGTCTTTAGGGAAGTAGAAAACAAGATAGGAATGCTGTTAAAACATTTCTTAAAAGGCACGTATAACTCTGAATCTGGGGATCCTCTAAGCTGTGAAGCCTAGAATTGTGCCCTATGTCCCATCCCAAACAAGAGCACCACTAACAGCATTACATTCAGCGGGGAAAGATACATTCAGGAGGAAAAGAAATCGGTAAGAAACTCGTGCAGCAAGTCTCTTCATGAGGACTCTATCACGCCTAAAATATCTATACAGCAACTATTTCCAACTCACAGCCTTCAAATGTCTTGAACTAGAATTCCTAAGGCTCAAGACAACTTTCTGTGCTTGCTCCATACCTTGGCAGCAGCTGCAGACACAGTGAGCATGACGGAGACCTCGCTCCCTTTGGCTCTGTCCCAGGAAGTGCCTGGTGTCTCCTTCCCCACTGGCTCTACAGTCCCATAGGGTTTGGAATCTGGGAAAGCTGAAGGAAGCAAAGCAAAGCAAAATAAAAAAAACAGCAAGAAGCAGCTGCTCAAACTCCTCTTCCAGAAATTCAAACCATTTATCAAAGATAGGGTAATTCAGCATTCAATCTGGAATGACGTGCCTGAATTGCCAATCAACCAATACAAATGTTTGAGAGGGAATATTCGAGTATTTTCTAGAAGGTATGGCTGTCCAGTATAAGCCTGTATGATAGTGAGAAGGGAGATTAAAAATTAAGCAGAGTGGAGTGTCAGAGATGAAGGGGAGAAAAATGGTAGTGAGGAGCAAGGGGAACTATGGCAGGGGATGGAGTGCAAGCTATCCCAGGGAAGAGAGATTGTAAATTTATTGCCAATCCCTTTGTCTGGCTCCCCAATCTCAACATGTCAGTTGGGTATTCACATCACTGGATGCCGCAGAACCAGGTTTGATGCTGCAATAAATCTAACCTCATCCATGACAAAATTGTAGATAGGAGGGCAGATCTGACATGTATCACCAAGACCTGGATGACAAAGAGAGAGGTGTACTAGTCCCTGAGATCTAGCTGGGTTTCAGATAGTCTATCAGCAGCTGTAAGGAGCACTGTTCCACAAATGGCTGGATGTGAGGACGGACCAGAGTACAAGATGGAGATAAAGCCACTGTACCATACTCCTAGCTAAGCATATTCCCCAAGCTTTTTGATCTCATTGTGAAGGTAGCTGTGGATTCACAGTTCTGGGCAATTTTGCCCTCCCCTTCTTGAGGTTGGAGGTGGCTCTGGTGTTCATTACTGAACAAATGTGGGCACATCCTAAGTTACTGTTGGTTCTACCCACATAGCTATCCACCATTAGGGCTAGCCTTAGAGCAGGTAAAACATGAACTGGTACTGGGGGACATTTCCATCAGTCCCTTATCATGGACAGATAACTTCCTTGTGACTATGGGGTTAACTGGAGTCACCAGCCTCTGCAGGGAGAACAAAATGCTCCAGACATCTGATGGATCCACAACGTTTTCAGACAGTGCTTGGGGAATTCCCCAGCAACCTAGGGTGCAGCGATGCTGAACACTTTGTTAACCTCTAGAATACAGAGGTGGACAGAGCATTAGATAGAACTGCTCTTGAGCAGCCTTTTCTCATTTGCTTATTCTGTGTGGTTTCTTGGTTCTCTGAGGAACAACAGGAAATGAAAAGATACCTGGAGCAATGCTGGTGGAAGATGAGGAACATCTATGACCAGATGTTAGCATGAGCAAAATATCAAACCTACTCTGTGGCAATAAGGGTGGTGAAATCGAACTATTTCACCACCATTATTGCACCTGTGGAATATCAGCAGCTGCACTCTTCAAATTGACTAGCTCCCTAACTGGAAGGGATGGCCCAGAAGACCCACTGGGTGCTACTTGCAATTGTCTGGCTCACCATTTTGCAGATAAAATACTTGTATTTGCTTCAGATTAGAAGCCAGCTGGACAGCATCCAAGAGGTGACATCATGTGATCTTAACTGGGAGGTTTTAGAATCTGTAGCTCTGAAGGAAGTAGACAAGATTCTTTGTCCACCACTTGTGGACTTGATACCTGCTCCTCCTGGCTGATTAACATGATCAGGAAAGGAATAGGGACTTGGATCCAGGCTATGTTCAAAGCCTCTATGCAATACAGGGAGGTACCAATGGCCTTGAAAAAGCACTGGTCCATCCTGTCCTTAAAAGACCTGCCTGGATCTTTTCATATTGTTCAACTATTATCCTATCTCCAACTCTCCTTTTGAGGACCTCTGGAAGAAACAGATTACCTGAACCTACATATGACAGTCAGGATTCAAGCCTGGGTGAAACCACACTGATTACTTTCGTGGATAACCTGTGGTGGTACTTGGATAGAGGAAGCAATTCTGCCACATCTCTTAGCAACTTTCAACACTGTTGACCTTAGTATCTTTCTGGTTTGTTGCAAAAGTTGGGAGTGGGAAGCACTATATTACAGAGTATCTCCACTTCTTTTGAGTAAGCAGTTCCAGTCAAAGCAATTCTGCCACATCTCTTAGCAACTTTCAACACTGTTGACCTTAGTATCTTTCTGGTTTGTTGCAAAAGTTGGGAGTGGGAAGCACTATATTACAGAGTATCTCCACTTCTTTTGAGTAAGCAGTTCCAGTCAGTGGTTGCAACGTTTGCCGGGGAGGGGTAGGGGTAGGCAGGAGATTAAATCCTTGGGCATTCCACTAGGGTACTACAGGGCTTGATCTTTTTCTCCAATCTATTTAATCTTTGCCAGAAGAGGTCAACTGTTAATTCAAGGTGCAGTAGCATCTATCCTGATGATATTCAATTGTATAATTCCACCCAGGCTGAATGAGGGACACCGAATATTTTTAGTCTTTTTATGTATATGGTCCTTTTATATAGTTCGACTTTTTAACTAAATTAATGTGTTATTTATATTTTTAACT